TCAGCTGAGGCAGAGAAACTAGTAGCTGCTGAAGCAAATGTTCATATGTTAAAGATCCAGCTGGCTGGGAGATTCTGGGAGTTGAAGTCCACAGGACTTAAAGTCGCCAAGGTTGAGAAACACTGTTCTAGAATTATTTTAAGGATCATACAGATGTGCGCAAAAGTCAATTGAAAATAGTTTTTCCATAAACAGTGGTTGCTTTTGAGGATATGAAAAAAAAAAGACGGTTGCTTAGATTTCTTTATCTGTTCAAATTCAGTATAGATTATTTCCTTGATGATATTCTTTGGAACTTACATAGTAGCAATCTCCCTCAGGGCTTAGGACAACCACTCTTTCCACTTTGGTTCTGGCTTGAAAACATAAACCTCATCCTTTTCTTTTTTCCCCCACAGGAGTCATCGCTGGTGGACTCGTAGGCTTACTATTTGCTGGATTCCTAGTTGCCTTCATGCTATATAGAATGAAGAAAAAAGATGAAGGAAGTTACTCATTGGATGAGCCAAAGCAATCGAACGGAGGCTATCAAAAACCACACAAACAAGAAGAATTCTATGCATGAGCACCCTGAGCGCAAATTAAAGACCGTTTTCTTTTTCTTATTCCTGGACATCATGAGTTCTCGCTGCGTTTTAAAAGGGGGGAAAAAAGCCATGAGACTGAATCGTAAGGCTCTGCCTCCTTGCCATTGGGAACTATAATTTCTCCAAAGTCAATCGGGATTTAATAAAAAACCTTACCTGCTTTCTTGCACAAAAAAAGATTTACCTGTAAAGTGGGACTTCCTATCTTGTCTAAAGACTTCTAGGGGAAGATAAGGAATCAACTGTATGTATATATATATAGTCTTGATGTCTTACGAACGCACCGAGGAATTCGTATGGTACAATATGTGTATTGTCAAGAGATTATCCCCCCCTCCCCTCCCCGCTCCCTTCCCAGCAAAATTGGCCAGCCACATTTTAGAAAATAATCTTTTTAAAGACAACGGTGTGGCTTTAGGCAGTTATTTTCCCCATTTCGGCCATGAATGCTAAGCCCCTAAATAAATAAGCCAATCGCCTGGGAGGTCCACCTGAAAAGTTACATATCTGACCAGAGAGGTGGAGTTCTCCAATAGAAGTATGATTCCACTAGAGCTCAGTGGGAGAAGTGGTGTATCACCAATGCTTCAAATTCTGAAGCATCACCTAGGGAAGTAGATATTTAAGACGTTCACCCTTTTCCTCTTCTTTTGGTCTTAACTGCAATATCTCTGCTGCTCGCTGCACAAAAAAAACCCCACACACCAGTCCTAGCATCGGGACCAGTACTTTTTCTCTACCTCTTCTGCACTGAGTTTTTGATAATGGCTTCTCAACACTGCCGCCTTGAAATTTCTCTCGCGTAGTACCTAGAATGCCAGGTGTGGCCCGCAACTTACAGGGCAAAGCACGGCAAGGCTAATGAGGATTCCTGTTTCTGCCAAATCCCAGGGATTAGAATCCTATTAGATTGGCATTTGCAGCAGGAATTCACCTTTTTGGCATGCAGGGCCTAGGGGAATATGTACATGGGTGATGACTTTTATCTCGGTCCAGCCGAGAACATTTAAGAGATTTTGAAGTTCAAAGATCTCCAGAAATTATTCTGTGTAGAAGAGGGAGGTAAGAATGGATTGTGTGCCTTCATCACTGTTGCGGTGCCCCAAATTTAATGTTGTGGGGGGTCACGGCTCGGTTTTGTATCACTGGGACCAAATCAATGAATGTTGGCACTTCTGAACCAGTATTTAAACGTGTTCACCGTGTTTGGGAGAAAAGACGATGATCTCTCCTAGCAGGCAAATTTCTGTTTAGAATAAAGAAGCATAGACGTATTATTTCCGTAATGCACAGGAGGAGGCTATAGATGCCAATAATCTATACCACAATGTTTTGTATAGAGGTTTTGGGTTTATAAGAAAACACTTGCATCCAATTTAGGCTCTTTTGTTTCATCTCTTTTTTTTGGTTTGCAATATATTTTTCTGCTTCTAGCAAAGTTTAGATAAAAGGATGGGGCTACACTAGTGCACTGTGAGGAAATATGGAATGCTAAGCTGAAGTAAATATTTCAGAAGGAGCATAATTGTGAGTTGCTGCCCATTGCACAGTTGGTGCCTTTTTTTTTATCTCTTCCTGCTGGAAAGACCCTTTGATGGGTTACAAGCTTCAGTGAGTGAAAACAGGCTGTCAGCTTCTTACAGTACCAAGATATGTTGAAGTTTTTAAGTGATGTGTCCTTTTTATGTATGGAAAATATGATCGTTGGCTTTCTCAGACATAGGAAACACTTCTCTCTTTCAAGCAAAGAATAAAACTCATGGGTTGTTTTTTTTTAATGGTCAAGCTTGAAAATAGAATCTTGAAACTAATAAGTACAATCAATTGCTGATTTTTGTTTTGTTTTGTATTTCACAACCATACACACGCAATAAAAAGGCAGCCGGTCAAAATAAGTTTGTCTTGTGTCATTTACCCGAAAAATGTTTTTTCTACTCTTGATTTCCCCCCCCCCCATATGTTTTGAATTGCAAGGTTATTTGGGAAAGGTTGGGAGGGGTGTAGAATACAAGGATCCTTGCTTGTTCCTGATTAGCCTGGTTGTCTGAAATGCATCTAAAAAATGCGCAAGTACAGTTATAGAGGCTAATAGGATTTTGAAACTTACAACGGCAGCAAGACTATTGGTGGCGCAGTACTGGAAGAAGAAAGCAATAGCAGTANATACCGCTTCATAGGGCTTTCAGCCCTCTCTAAGCGGTTTACAGAGTCAGCATATTGCCCCCAACAACAGTCCGGGTCCTCATTTTACCCACCTCGGAAGGATGGAAGGCTGAGTCAGCCTTCAGCCTAGTGGGATTTGAACAGCCGAACTGCTGAACTGCAGTCAGCTGAAGTAGCCTGCAGTGCTGCATTTAACCACTGCGCCACCTCGGCTCTATATTATGATCTATATTAGAAGGTGGTCGACCTCAGTAGAGATTTTAAGAGAGACGTTGATCATTTTATGAGAGATTTATTGTAATGACACTGTTCTAGTGTGGAAGAACTGGACTGTATATGATTTGTAAGGCTCTGCGGCTTTACGTTTCCTCTATAATTGGGCTAATACTGTTAAAGAAGTTCACACACTATTTAAGGAAATAAATTAAATGTTGGCAAAAGTTTGTGTGATATTTAGTGGTAGCAGTATAGGAACAGTGGGTTATCCCAGACCCCTGTTGAAAGAGCCCATCTTCATCACAATGTAAGATCCATCAATATGTAGAAGAGCTAATCATTAAGTGTTGTACCCTATGATTCTTGACAAATGTATCTTTTCTTTTATGCACATTGAGAGTTTATGCACCAAAGACAAATTCCTTCTGTGTCCAATCACACTTGGCCAATAAAGAAATCTATTCTATTCTGTTGTGCTTAGGTCCCTGCTCCAGAAACAAACCCATGAAAATTGATTGTTCTTGGGCTTCTCTGATATCAAAAAGCATCTCAGGCTAAAGAGAGCAAAAGGAGAAACATTACAGAATACCCACATACAGCATGCACACACATACACGGTTCTGGATGGTCCTGAATCCTACGAAAGTCTGACTTCTATGTATTTCTGTTGCTAAACAAGGCAGTTGTTAAGTGAGTTTTGGCCCCATTTTTTGACATTTTTGCCACAGTTGTTAAACGAATATTGCAGTTGTTAAGTGAATTGTGGTTGTTAAGCCAGCCTGGCTTCCTCCATTGTCTGTGTATGTTGCAAGCCGGCTGGGAAGGTTGCAAATGATGATCGCATGATCCATGGACAGTGCAACTGTCTTAAATACATGCCAGTGGCCAAGCATCCAAAATTTGTTCATACGACCATGGGGACGCTGCAACGGTTGTAAGTGTGAAACTCAATCATAACTCACTTTTTTCCAGTGCTGTTGTAACTTGAAATGGTCCCTGAACAAATGGTTGTAAGTCAAGGACTAACTATACCCTGTTTCCCGAAAATAAGACCCAGCTGGGAAATAAGTCCTAGCATGATTTATATTACAAGCATGATGCTTGTGATATAAGCCCTACCCCAAAAATAAGCCCTTGTTAAGATCATCAGCCAGACGGAAGCATTTAGTGCCATATTTCCCTGAAAATAAGACCTAACTGGAAAATAAGACCCAATGTGTCTTTTGAAGCCAAAATTAATATATTATTTTAAATTAAAATATTATCTTATTTTGGGGAAACATGATAGATGCGTCATCACAAATCAAATGCAAAAAAATGTCTGAATTTCTGCAAGTAGGATAATTTTAATTATTCTTACTATGGACATGGACGAACCTTCACTTTATAGCCCATAGCACACAAAGCAAAGTTTGAATGGCCTGACTCAAGAGTAGAGTTGGGTTTTTTTTTTAAATGTTGAATCATTAGAGTATGGCCTTATTTTCTTCTCCAAGCATTTATATTATGTGCATCCACAATACAGTAAGGAACAATGGGCTCTCTTTCCAGAAAGAAATACAGATGTGCTCTGTGTCCGTGCAAGGACCATGAGAGGGGCAATATAAAATCTTTGCATCCTAGCCAGCATAATGATCAGCTTTTAATTAGTATTTAGTCATGTATATTATATATATATAATATATTGATTTTCTATTCTAAAGCAACCAATGGACATCAGTCTACCCCCTGAAGACCAGGATTCATCTGGAGATGACGATGACTCATTTTCTGGTTTATCATCGGGTGCAGGTATGCTTGGTTCTCTGTTCTTCTATTGTAAATAGAACTCTTGCTTAAGTGTTAACATAGGGGATTAACATTTGCTGCCAGGAGAGCAATAACGATTACCGCTTCAGAAAATTTGGAAAGGGGATTAAATAAATTCATACGGGATAAGGCTTCTAGTTGCTGAATTTCTCTATGGTTGTATGCTACCTTATAATAAATTGAGAGTTGTACAATCTGAGGCTATATTTGTTCCTGACTCATAATAAAGTATGCATTGCCTAGATGTCCTCTAGCTGAAATTTTAAAANTCTCACCGGCTCAAGGTTGACTCAGCCTTCCATCCTCCCGAGGTGGGTGAAATGAGGACCCAGACTGTGGGGGCGATATGCTGACTCTGTAAACCCGCTTAGAGAGGGCTGAAAGTCCTATGAAGCGGTATATAAGTCTAACTGCTATTGCTATTCAAAAGTAGCTGTCGGGAGGAGGAAGGAGGGCAGGCATCTGATTTAAGACTGTGTGATTTATAAATCAACACAATTAATGTAGCCAGTCTCAAAATACCATTTGCCAGGTGGCTTCCTACCCAAATGCTGCATTTGTCTTGGAGAGGGATGGGGAGATAAGACAATTTCCCAAACAAAGCATGGTGTGGGTCACCCGGCGTTTTGATTTTTCAAGCATGCCTCTTGGAGACAGAGCAATTCATGGAAACAATGACAGGGCCACAAGTAGTCTACTCAGCAGCATGGGAGTTTCCCCACAGAATTTTGTTTTAATTGAACGAATATTTTGAAAGTCAGCAGGGGTAGGGAGACTGGCAATTGCCCAGGGAGGTGTCTGTGGGCACACTTGGGGCTCTCAGACAAGCACACTGTTATCCTGGTTTAGACATTCAGGTTAGAACCCCATCAGGCAAGAGTTCATGCCTATTTACTTATAGGCAAGCCACTACTTGACTGTATATATAATCCAATTAAAGAACTGTGGATTGATTTTTTTTTAAAAACTAATCAGTTGGGAAGAATGTTTGAAATACAATTGCCAGTGGTTGAATGAATTATTAGTGCATCTCATTAAGATTTTGCATTCAGGTAGGCAATTAGAATGCAGAACTAACTGCCTCACGAAGTAATAAAACTTTGCAGGCTTTTAAATATCCTTTTCTTTCCTTGGATTTCACAATGAAGACAAATGAAAGTAAAGTGAGCTGATAGGAGTTGATGATGTACATCCAGCTATCTTAATTGGAGCTCAGGAAGAAAAAAAAAAACTGACCTCCTTGTTATTCTTGCCTAAGATAGTTGCTGCCAGGTAACAGGCCTATACTTGAATTGAGCAGAACATATTCTTCTCTCGCAATAATGGAATCTGTGCCAGCCTTAAGTCACCTTGCAACGTGGAGCAAAGCCCAACCCTTGCCACCCTTCCCCTTGCCCCATGGGCTAAAGCTGAGTCTTCCCCTCAAGGCGCTGGCTCCTCCTTTGCTGATGCCTCCTTCGCCCTCTTGTAGGGGTGGGCGAGCCCTGAATTGAGTACTGGTTGCCTCTGCCAACTTTAGGTGTGCCATTCCACTTAAAATGCATGTATCGTTTGTTTCCCAAAATGGAGCAGATCAGACATTTTGGTTTCTTCTCCACCGCAGTCTTTGGTGGAATGAATGGCCGAAATATTTATTGAGTATCTGATTTCCTGCCTGAGAAATTGAAGATATCTGTGGCTTTTGGTTTAACATAGCTGGCAAAATAGCCGCCTATTATATTTCTGTTTCAGAGATTCCTGGGAAGTTGCCCTCCCCACATAAGTAATTATGAACTGGGAAGGAACAACAGAATTTTACTGTTCTGTAAAACAGAACGCAACATGAGAAGAAAGGTGCTGGAGTTGACCTTTTTTTAAAAATTAATTGCTTCTCTAGAATTTTTTGTGAGTTTTACCATAAAGATGGGATCAAATTAACAGGACAAAATACAGCTAAGCTGATATTTCCATGGAGTCGTTCTTAACAATTGGGCCTCGTATCGATTTGTCTTATAGCACAGTTTGAGGCTAAACATGGGAAACTTGCAGTTTGAAATCTAATAGCTAATATGTGTGTGAGCAACTGACATTAAAATGTCTTGGCACGCAAGAGAATCTAGTCTTTCCGAGCCAAGGGTTGAAAAATAACTTGTAAGATTGCTGAAATTTAGAACCTGCTCTTTTATTATCTTTATACTGTTGCCTTTTAAGGCACATATCTGTGTTCAAATTGCTTGGCGAAATAAAGTTACAAGCATGTCTGGCTACTTATGAGAAGATGGGTAAGCTTACCGTCTCTACCCAGAGGTCTCCCCTCTAGCTGTTTTCCATACTTAAGGTGGGTGCTACTTTTAACTAACTGCACACCTGTGTAGGACAAGCTTGTACAAGAAAAGATTCTGAATATACTTCACATTGTGTGGATAGTAAAATTAAAATCGAATAGTCTTTGCACTTTCTTTACTTTTAATTAGGATAGGGGTTATTCAAAAGTAAATGGTTTCCTGTGCATTTTGTGCTGGAATTGGAATTGGTGGCGCTCCAAATACATTCAAATCTGTTTTGTTTTTTTTCCAAAGCTTCATTCCTGTAGGTTTGTTTCTCGGATGAAAGGAAAAAAAAATCATGTCCATGCATGATACGTTGCCTGAAAATTAATCTACTGGCTTCATTTAAAAGATGTAAGCCTGATTAGTGGACCCTTTCAGGTGGATAAATTCTGCTATTGAATAAAACCGCTGACAGGAGGTAGTGCAATAGCAATAGCAGTTAGACTTATATACCGCTTCATAGGGCTTTCAGCCCTCTCTAAGCGGTTTACAGAGTCAGCAACTTGCCCCCACAGTCTNAAAAAATGCGCATGCTTCTATTTAGTGGAAAAAGCAAGGGCTTCCTCTGGGCTGTCTCGAGATGGACTGATTAAGAAACATTTAGAACTATATGAAAAAATATGCAATCTGAGCATTAAAGAAACAAAACACAGTATTATCCCAAAATTGCCTTTCCAAAAGGTTCTACCGAAGAAGCTTCTTGGATGAGAAGTGAAACATTTTCAAAGGAAAATAAAATAAATAAACCAAGAAAGTTCTCGGTTGCCTTTTGGAAAAGCACCTTTGGGATAACCATGACCTGGATGATGGAGAATCTCCATAGACATAAAGGGTGTACAATATTAGTCAAAATGAACACATCCTACCTTAGTCATACTCTGAAATCAGCTCCCTGTTAAAGACAAGACAATTTGCCGAGACTTATTTCTAGCGTGAGGGAAGATGTGAAGGTCTATAAGGGATACTTACTGGTCAGTTCAAAGGTTTCTAAGGGATGGTATGAACTCTTGAGTAGGAATAAAGACCTATGCAAAAACAGCTGGTCTTCTGCCCTGGGAAAACTTTGCTCTAGGAGCTATGTAATTACTAACTTTCTAGAAGGGGGCATGTGTGGTGGTGAGTAATAAACAAAATTCTATATTGCAGTACAGTAGGACTAGACTGGTAGCATTCTTCTGTAAGAGGTGGTCCGATTGTCCATTTCTAGTCTGAAATTATCTTTTAAGTACTTGATGAGAAATTGAAGGGATCTAACTCAACTATGGGGCAAAACTTTTTTTTTTTAGACTGAGACTTGGGGTTCTTTCACATGAGGATTTTGTTTTGTGTATATGTTTGTGTGCAATTTTCCCACCTCAATTACTGGACTTCTTTGTGAAGTTTTCAAATAATTTATTTTTTGCTTGCAAAAAACTTATGAAATAACTACAGAATATTCCAGATGTTTTACTCTACTGTTTCACAGCAATTTCATAACATTTTTCCTCCAATTCTTACCCAACTTTCATTCACTCACTCATTCAGATCCATATAGGAGTGATGCACATGGGTAGTGATTGGATAGGATTTCTGTTTGCAACCAAGATAGATGTTAATAGTAGCATTTCTAAAGTTGAAATTTTCTGTTTCATTTGCTCATACACAGAATCTAGCTCTTCTCCTTGGAGCGATTTTGTGAAGCTTGCTATCAAGATTGCTAAAAAATCTTGACAGCGAGACAGCATTCCCGTCCCTGTCATTGCTTTAAGACAAGGAGTAAAATGGCTATATTTATGTGGTCAACCTACCATAACCAGAGGTTATGACTTCAAAGAACATGAAGTTCAGGATTACTGCCCTTAACATTTGATGGTGTTTACCTCTCTGTGTTAGCCCTCCCCTTGCTCTGCTACTGTGATTTATTTATTTATTTATTGTCATCCTGTACCTATAACCGACTGTCACAATTCATAGTAAAATGTGCACAGCTAAAGCCATAAAAAGATAATAGGGGACATATGATTTAGATATCCAGAAGTTGCAAAATCCATCTATTCTTTTTATTCTATCTTAGCACTTATTTCAGAAGTCTTCAAACTTAGCAACTTTAAGACTTGTGGACTTCAACTCCCGGAATTTTCCAGCCAGCTATTCCCAGAATTCCAGGAGTTGAAATCCACAAGTCTTAAAATTGCCAAGTTTGGGGAGCCCTGATTTATTGGTTTAATAAGTTGCACGATTTAAGCAGTTGTGGTTTTTTCACTAATAAGCATTAGTCTGTCGCATGTTAACCACAGCTATGAAAACGAGTATTGGAAAACGGTACCCAAACTACAATGTTGAACATCATCAGCTTAAGAAGTAGTTTTCTGAATTAGTATCCCATCCCCTTCCACTCTTTTACACACATATAACTTTGCTGTTATGGTCTGTTTGCTGTAGCAACCATTCCCAGCCAAAGGCTAAAACTTGCTAATGTGTAAATATCTGAGATATTTACTGATCTTCCAGAATGGAAATAGGAAACCTGATGCCCTCCAGTTGTTTTGCATATCACTTCTTATCAGATCTGTGCAAGTCATAGTCCAAGACATTTGGACAACACCTGAGTTGGGCATTTTTTCTTTTAACATTTCTTAATGATGAATTGTGCTGTAAAACTGGATTTACAGAATAAACCCAGAGAAACGGTGG